GGGGGGAGATGACATGGCCGCATTGTACCAAACGTGGGAGCACTGGTGGTTCTGCTAAGGGTGCTTTTTTTTTTTTTTTTTTTTCTCTCTTTTTGGGGAGATGGTGATGGTGATGGCGAAAGGTGGTTGATGATTTGGTGATGGTGTTTGGTGAGAATGAACGAACGAGTGGTTCAGAACCTTCAACTCGCCAAAACCTCCTCCAGTGAGAAGAAGGGTGCCTGCACTCTGCAGTCATGGAAGCAAAGTCCCCCCGAGTCCAACCTTCCAGGCAACCAAGGGACCCAGCTGTGGACAAGAGTGGAGGAAGCGACTTGCCACGATAAGCGTTATCAGCTGGCGCCCCCCTGCTCGGCTGTGAGCCCTAAGGTCCGAGGGGCCAATCAGACTGTAGTCTTGGTAAGCCCCACCACCACAGTTTTTCCGGACTACGCCCACACAACGGGACAGACACAATTTCACCCTTCGAGGAGAGAAAACCAAACTCCGCGTCCCAGATTGCACGGTCTCCATCACCACCCCAAGCAGCACATTTTGTCCCTAGGCACAGGTGCTCGTCAAGATGGCTGTTGGCAAGTACGTTGTCACCCCGAAATATTGCCAAAATCGATGCCACGATGATGCGGGCGATGGATGGAATGAGCGGTCCGCGCAGGCGTCATGCGGTCGCGAGGCGATGACGAGCTCCGGTCGCAAATTACAGACAACATCGCCCGATCCGAATCGAGAAACAAACAGCACACAAGCAGCGCAGCGGCTAATCATTGGTGTTGGCGTGCAGGAACAAGAGATTGTCCAAGGGCAAGAAGGGTCTTAAGAAGAAGACCCAGGACCCCTTCGCCCGCAAGGACTGGTACGGCATCAAGGTGAGTTTCGACCGATCGCGATCTCAAGTCCCAAGGTGACAGCAAACTGACTGGTTCCCCGTCTCCAGGCCCCTGCGCCTTTCAACGTCAGAGAGTAAGCCATCCGCCCGCCCTACATATCGATATCTCTTTCAAATCCGCACGCAGCCCGACCCAGATATCAACAAACACACATCATGCGAGAACGGTATTCTAACTAGCTTGTTCAGTGTCGGCAAGACCCTGGTCAACCGCACCACCGGTCTCAAGAACGCCAACGATGCTCTGAAGGGCCGTATCTTCGAGGTCTCTCTCGCCGACCTCCAGAAGGATGAGGACCACTCCTTCCGCAAGGTCAAGCTCCGTGTCGATGAGATCCAGGGCAAGAACTGCCTGACCAACTTCCACGGTCTCGACTTCACCTCCGACAAGCTCCGCTCGCTTGTCCGCAAGTGGCAGACTCTCATTGAGGCCAACATCACCGTCAAGACCACCGACGACTACCTCCTCCGCCTCTTTGCCATTGCCTTCACCAAGCGCCGCCCTAACCAGGTTAAGAAGACCACCTATGCTGCCTCTTCTCAGATCCGCGCCATCCGCCGCAAGATGACCGAGATCATCCAGCGCGAGGCTTCCAGCTGCACCCTCACCCAGCTCACCTCCAAGCTCATCCCCGAGGTCATTGGCCGCGAGATTGAGAAGGCTACCCAGGGCATCTACCCCCTCCAGAACGTACGTTTTGTAACCAAGGACTTTGGACGACACCGCAGATTAGCTGACTTTAAGCGCTACAGGTCCACATCCGCAAGGTCAAGTTGCTCAAGCAGCCCAAGTTCGACCTCGGTGCTCTCATGTCTCTCCACGGCGAGTCTGGCTCCGACGAGGCTGGCCAGAAGGTCGAGCGTGAGTTCAAGGAGACCGTTCTCGAGTCCGTATAAAGGGTTACCGGTACTGGGGAATGATCGCACTGGGCATGGGTTTCACTCGGGCAATACCTCTCTAGGGCTTTGGTCTTGCTTCTTCGTTGCATTGGCATGGTATTATGGTATTAGTCAAGGTAACGAATACCCTCCCGACAATGAGAAAACGGGAATCAAAAAACGATCACAAATGACCAAAAGTCGAGCGATGGTTGAAAATGTCGTTTTTAGAGAAGGGGTGACACTCAGCTCAGCGAATTCTACGTGGTTTGGGAGACCTTGCCTGGATACGAAAGCACTCTAATCGTCGTTGACTTGGGCTTGTGGGGCGTTTTAGGGATCTGAATTTCAGCTACGAGGAATCGTTATGAGAAGCAGCCGGAGTCCCATATACCCCTGATTTCCCTTGGTTGGCCATAAGAGAGGGATGCACAAGTCGTGGTTGACGGGTGTCCGAGCGAGTAGTCGATCCAGCAGCAGCATCATGTAAGGCGGGTGGGCGGTTCAGGTCAGCCTCGCGCGTCCCTTGGTGCTTTGTAGTATCAGTGCGTTCAAAGCCAATCCCAGCATGCTCAATATTCACGGTGCGACTTTTTGACTATATGTGATCATTGCCTCTTATTTGAATCGCACCACGGATAACGTCCCGAGTCTCCAATGCCTTGTGGTGTGCTATGTGTGGGCTGGGCCCGTCAAGAGAACCCTCCTGCCCTCTTGGGCTTTTGGTAAAGTCCAGGCTCTTGCATAAGGACGGGAACTGTCATATGAGGGTGCGTGTCGGTGCAAAGCGGCAGCTTCCACTTGTCAGCCAGGCCAGTCACCTACCTACGGGGCGATTACAACTGAAGTACCTACGCACCTCTGCGCACTCTCAGTTTCGGGGGGGGGGGGGGCAGCAACTCAAGATTTGCAAACGCAAACCTAACAACAAACTTTTCGAACTCGCTGACGACAGAAGGGATTTCGACCTGGGAATAAGACGTACCGCAGCATTGTAGCATTGCAGGGTTAAGGAGCATCGCGACTTTGTTTCATCTTTGTCTTCCCGCTTGGAGAACGGGACTTACACGTGCAATTATACCTCCCTTGGCTTGCGCCAGTTCTCAGCAACGACCCCTCCAATGGGAACCTGTGTCAACTGTCAACCGTCGACTTCCACTCCAACCTCGACATTCCTCGACATAGAAACTCCCCGCAATTGCCACCTGCTCTAACGACCTGCTCAGCAACATCACTTCATCACCTCCGAACCAAGTACAGGTCATTTCAACATCTGCACTCAGGTCGTTATAGACAGGAGCAAGGATAGACAACGGACGACCAGTTTACTTACACCTCTCCTCTTTTCGATCCCTGTGACCCCGTGGGCTCCCCGTCCAGCCAGATGGCTTCGGATGACGCCCTACCTACGCTCAAGATCCTATTGATCGGGCCATCAGGTGCTGGAAAGTCGGCATGTAAGTCTTTTGGGTCTCTCATCTGTCCCGGGATCGTCTAACCTCACTTGGTGGGCATGGCAAGGAGTTTGATGAAGTGCTTCCTTCACATCCGATGGAAGAGGTGCAAACGGCACAGTCATCATGCTCTTAAGCTACAAAGAGCTCGTGCAACATGGCTTATACACACCCGAATATTAAACTTTTGCATGCTGGTCTCTGACAATTCCCCAGTACTCATGCGATATTGTGATGATGAATTCGATCCTGACACGGCCGCTGCGACGATTGGTATCGACTTCAAGGTGAGTTACTGTTCTTCTATTACATCCTTACCACTCACTCACATTTGCCCTCACCTGTCCACATATTTTTGCACATGTTGAAGGGTCATTCATAGATTTTGGGATCTCACACCCTCATTCGAACTGAAGTAGTATCCTCAACACTTGGTCGTTGGGGAACGTATCCTGCAATAGTATACTGACACAGTTATTATTGTTCCAGATCAAAAGACTTGCGGTCCGCGGCAAGCCATATCGGTTAACTCTGTTTGATACGGTGAGCAACAACACTCCTTCCTTAGAACTTCATGTTCACACAAGCCCAATCTGAAAGCATCATGTGTACGCTCTCAATGAGCTTGCTACTAACAAGTGAGTCACTGTTGATTTGACAATGACAGGCCGGACAAGAAAGATTCCGAACCCTCTCAACCAGCTTCTACCGTGGTGCCCATGGCGTTATTCTTGTCTACGACATTTCCAACAGAGCAAGTTTTATATCCATGGAACGATGGTTTGACGAAGCCAAAGCTAATACCGTAGAGGACGTTGCTCTGTACCTGGTAAGATTCCTTTTTTTCTTTTTTCTTCTTTTTTCTTTTTCCTTTTTTTTTTTTTTTGGTCCCCTTCTTTTTTGGCTTTTTTATCCCACATCATGAACGCAACCGTCACATCAGTTCCCGTGATGAAGTAGTCACAAAATATCACTAACATAGTACACATTTAGGTCGGAGCAAAACTTGACAAAGCAGCTCGCAGCCGGGAGGTCACATCCGAGGAAGGCCTAGCACTAGCGGAACAACACGGCGCCAGCTTTTGCGAGGCAAGTTCCAAGACCAGTGAGAACGTCCGCCGCCCCTTTGTGGAAATCGTAAACCAGATCGTGCAGACGCCAGGTCTGCTCACCAACGCCACGGCAAAACGGCGATCCGGGACGGTCGTGGTTGACAGCACCACCAACAACGGCTACTTCTCCCTTCCGACTTGTTCGTGCTAGCGGAACGCATTTTCATGTCTTCTGGCAGCCAACCCACAGCCTGGCTCGTCGGTGGCCGGAGTTGCTGCTCTGCTTAAACACACAGCACACAAGAAACGAGTTCTGATACCCCCAGACTACATGTTTATGATTGGCCACAAACGCATATTTTTGTTAGAGATTTCCTTGATTCGCAAGCTTAAGAGAATGTTAGTTGCTTGTTCTTTCTATCGTCTAAGGTCTATGTCTCATGATGATATGTTGTCCTCAACCTTGTCAGGCATTTTGAAAGCACTGGCTGGTAAACCGGTACTTGTGAACCAGAAGGAGACCAAGAAGCAATGCTTTACCGTCGTCAACCGCCACTCGAGAACAAATGGATGCTCGGGTCATGTCCTGTGTGGGGATAATCCATAGCCTCCACGAATACCTCTAATACAACACTCTCACCTCCGTGTCAACAACAGGAGAGTTTTTGTTTACTCCTTGGGCTCGAGGAACTTTAGAACAGCTGTCCCACAAATGGATCATTAGCATCACCAACATCACACCCAAATCATAGTCCAGCCCAGAAGAAGAGAAAACTCACCCTGCCTAAAAGCCTCTGGATTCTCCGAAATAACCCAATGCCCGCCCTCAACATCCACCAGCTCAAACAGCGGGAAAAACTGCCCAATTAGCGGGATCACCTCATCCGGCACGTAATGGCTCTTTGTGCCCCTGACAAACAGCGCGGGTTTACCGAACCTGACCCTATGCGGATCCTTGAAGGGAAAATCACCCATGTGATCCAAACTCTTGCCAATAATCCCCAACGGATTCCTGAACTGCAGCGTCGGGCTCGGCTTTCCACCGGGATCGACACGGGGCCGGTGCAAGTTGCCCAGAAGGAACTGGCGTACGACTAGATCTTTTTCGTAGGGCTCGAGAATCTTGTCGGCTGCGCTGAGGGAGGAGACGCCGGCTTCTTCAATCTTTTTCAGGCCTTGGATGTACCGAGCAAAGGACGATTGCAAGCGGGCGTCTACCGGCGCGTTGTCGACGGAAATGATATTTTGCACGAGGTCCGGATGCGTGAGGGCAACGGTCATGGCGGCTTTGGCGCCCATGGAGTGCCCGATGAGGGTGGGGTCTTTGAGACCGTGGGAACGGATAAAGGCGGCTACGTCCTCGGACATGGCGGTGTAATCATGGCGGGGGTCGTGGGGGGATTCGCCGTGGTTGCGGAGGTCCTGGTATGAGGTTAGAGTTTTGATTTCTTTCAAAGATTAACATGTATTGCAGATTTCCCTTACAATAGCGAAGATATGACGACCTAGGTCACGGGCTAGCCGTCTTTATTATTTTGAAAGGAAAAACAAAGTTAGTTATCAAGTCTCAACTGACCGACAAGTTTGATGAGACTAGTGTCAAAGAATCGAATGTGATTAAGCAAATCTAATCTGTCCAACATCGGGGGGAAACAAGAGACCGAACGCTCATAAACCGATGCATAAGGGCTACTCACTTACTGATACTCCTGTTGTTTTTCTTTGAGCCAAAAAGTCCATGGATGAAAATGATGGGCTGAGTCTCCTTATTCGGCACCGTAGGGTTCTCCGGTGAATGAAGATCATAGACGAGCGGGACTGTAGAAACAACCGGAGGGACGGTGTTGGTTGTTGTTGACGAAGGAGTAGCGGCAGAAGCGGAAGAGAAGAGTCTTCGGGCCATGAGGGTGGCGCTGGCGCCAGTGACGGCTGAGATGGTTGGGATGGTGTTGACGCAGCATCCTCTTCCGGCTCCAACTGCTGAGGCGCCGGCCTGGGCGGCCGCGCGGGCGAAGGCTATTTTTATCATTTCTTACTTGTGCTGATTTTCAGGTGGTTCGAAATTCGATATTGATGTGATTTGAGCCAGAGAAGGTGTGGTTTTGTCTTTTCAAGATCACCGACTACCACGGATCGGTTAATGCACAATCTCACGCCTTCTGGAAGCATGGAAGTCGTCGTTGAGTCATTGATAGCCAGATAAAGATCCACTAAGTGATAAGGGCGATTAGCGCACAGACCAAGTACGTCATTCAGTGTACGAGTGGGTACGCCCAAACACCGAGCTCGTTCCCGCCGTTCGGGGTTTATAGACCCGGAGAGGTCGGAAGGGAGCACCCCGGCGTGTTCGGGTAGGCCGGTGCGTAACGGTTCTCCCACTCTCGGGCGGTCCCACCAAACCACTCTTCAACCCACCCAACTTGGTCACCACCATCGTCGGCTGCAACGACAGCCTCAACTCATGCCTTTCGGCCGCCAACTCCCCCAAGTTCCCCTTGAACACATATGCACTCTGAATCCACCGCCCTCCGCCCATCCCGCCGGTTGCTTGCTCTCCCTACACCTGGATTGGTCGGACTGCGCGGAAGAAGGGAAAGTTTTGGGGAGGCAGAGAAGGAAGCTGTGTTGTCTCGAGCAGTCGTTCAACTGTGGAATTGTTTGAGATCGGGGTTCTTGGCAGTGGCTGGCTGCAATTCAATGTGGTTTTGCATGATATCTGATCCCATTCCTATTTCCTGTTCAGGGGACCGTGGGAACATTTGGTGATGGTTGGCACTAGTAGTTTGAACCTAGGTACTGATGATATTTAACATGACAGAGCATCGTGGTGAAGAGACGAAGAATGCCAAGTCACCCGAGTCTTGAGGTTGTGGAAGCTCGCACCCCCCCACCGGCGCTGTGTTTGGAAGCTTGGGCCACTCGGTCCCGCGGCACACCCCAGACCCCACACAGGATCCCAAAAAAATCCTGGTCCCATCCACAGGTGGGAGCCCCGCAATTGAGCCTCTTGACAGCGAAGCACAGCGCGACGCGGAGGCCAAAGAACAATCGTGACAGGGGGTGCTTCAACAACTGAACTTGAACCCTAGAACATCCAAGCTGCGGGGCCCAACAACCACCGCGACACCATCCTCGGCTGACACTCAGCTGCGAAACGTCACCGACGGGCTCCCTTCGACTGCACTTCAGTTCCCTTCGACCAGAAACCGGGTACATACTACTAGTATCAATACCGACTGGCACATGATCAGCATTAGCCTATAACATCCACGCTCAACTCCCCCAGGAGCGGCCACCACCATGTCAGACTCTGCCATCGCCGCCCTCAATTCCCTCCTTCGTGGGACGAGCATCGACGACCATGAGGAAGCTCTGAAGCTCGCCAATTCCGCCATCAAAGCCGCCAAGGGCAACCCGGCCGACCTGACCACCGCCCGGCACACCCGCGTTGTTGCGCTCGTCAAACTCGATCGCTTCGACGATGCTCTCCGTGCCATTGCCGAAGGAGGCGCCGCCCTCGACAAGACCTGCGTCATGGAGAAGGCGTATGCGCTCTACAAGACCGGCGAGCTTGAGGCTGCCGAGCAGTTGCTGGAGACCACCGGAATCAATACCCGCGGTATGAAGCACCTTGCCGCCCAGGTCGCCTACCGTGCCGAGAAGTTCGACAAGGCTGCCGAGCTGTATCAGGAAATGGCCGAGAACGTAGAGGATGCCATGTACGGCGAGGAGAACGACTTGCGCATCAATATTCTGGCGACTTACTCGCAACTAGAGATGCAGGGCAAAGGCTGGGCCGTATCGGAGGAACACAAGAAGCTCAGTAGGGATGAGCTCGAGGTCTTTGAGACGGCATACAACGCTGCTTGCGGCAGCATAGCCCAGGGCGACTTCGCCAAGGCTGCTTTTCTGTTCAAGCGTGCCAGGGATCTGTGCGAAGCTTCAGAAGATTTGAGCGAGGAGGACAAGAAGGCAGAACTGGCGCCCATCATCGTACAGCAAGCCTACGTTGCTACGAAGCTTGGTAACCTGGAAGAGGCTGCGAGGTTCCATGAGGAAGTTGTACTCTCTGAGTAAGTTCTATCTGGGAGCTCTGGCAGCGTGAACATCACTCTGACTTTGAATCTTCTAGTATCTCGGACGCATCAACCAGAGCCATTGCCCAAAGCAATGCGCTGATCCTCAAGTCCGAGAGCAACCCATACATGGCTCAACGGCTCGCCGACACCCTCCCAGTAGTAACCGGGAACGACCGTTTGTTCGAGGAGCAGGCTACCATTTTCCGCCGCAACAAGTACATCATTGAGCTCCAAGCGCAAAAGTTCGCTGGCGTCAAGAGCAAGACCGCCAAGATCTTGTCCAAGGAGGCCGAACCCACCATTTCGTCCAGCAAGTGCGACCTAGGCGCCCTCAACGCCGCAGCTGCTTCCGAGCTTCAAACTGGCAAGACAGCTCTCCGCCGCATCCTCCCTCTGCTCGAGACCAGGCCCACCGACGTCGGCCTCCTCCTGACCGTCATCCAACTCTACATTCAACTCCAAAACCCCGCTCAGGCGCTCAACCTCCTCGAAGCCTTCTTCAAGCGCCTCGAGGCCGCCACAGCATCCGAAAACAACGCCGATGTGCGCTTCGCCCCCGGCCTCGTCGCCCTCGCCGTTGCACTCTACCGTCAACAAGGCCGTCACTCCGCCGTCCGGTCCGAACTTGCCAAGGCCGCCTCGCATTGGCAATCCAAGCAAAAAGCCGCCAGCAGCGGCGACTCTCTCCTGCGCGAAGCCGGCATCGAGCTGCTCCGCTCCACGCACCCCTCCGACTTGAGCACCGCTGGCGAGGCCTTCACGCACCTGGTAGCCGCCCAGCCCGACGACCGTACCGCTACAGCGGGTCTAATCGCCAGCTTCGCCACCAGCGACTTCGCCAAGGTGCAGCCCTACCTCGGCGCTCTCTCGCCCGTCGAGAAGCTCACAGCCGGCGTGGATGTTTCCGCCCTTCTTGACGCCGGAGTCGCCGCTCTCCCCGTCGTTAGCCACCAACAACAACAAGGCAAGAAGCGCGCCCGCGAGGACGACGGCGAGACTACGGGCGAACAGCAGAAACAACAACAGCAAGCCGCGAAAAAGCAGCGCAGAAAGAGGAAACTGCCGAAGAACTATGACCCCGCCAAACAGCCCGACCCGGAGCGGTGGCTGCCGTTGCGCGACCGCAGCAGCTACCGGCCCAAGGGCCGGAAGGGTAAAAAGCGGGCGCAGGAGGCGACGCAGGGCGGCTATGTCAAGGGCGATGAGGAGACGCTGGAGCTCGCCGGCGGTGCTGGGTCCTTGAAAGTGGAGAAGGCGAACCCGGCTGGTAGCGGTGGTGGAGGTGGCGGAGGGGGTGGTGCGAAGAAGAAGAAGAAGGGGAAGAAATGAAAGAATTGTGGTGTCTAGGTGTATGAGGGGGATATCAAAAGGGGGCGTATTGAAATTTGATGTTTAAATTAAGACACATACTAGAGTGTATAATACAGACTAAGATTTGATGATTGATGGTTTCGAATCTTGTGTATTCGGCATTCGGTGATTCGACGTTCCCATCGAGACACGGAGTCCCATCTAGACAGTATATTTGCACGTCCTAACGTTGTTCGAGATGTCAAAAGACGTTTGAGTTAAATTTCGTAGGACGCCATTTCTCTTGCTTATCTGATATATTTCTTCAGCAAACCAGATTCAAAGCCAACGATTAACCACGCCACAGCGTTTGCTGAAAAACTGTTATATTCCCCCATTTTTTCACACTATTATGACCACCACCACCACCACTACTACTACGATTGTACTCTTATTGTGGAATCCATCACTTCCAACAGCAAGAGCAAGTGTATCAACCAAAAATGTCCACTGAATCCCAGCAACTTCAAGTTTGGTAACTGCAGTGTAGTATACATCAAACCCACAACAAAACAACATGGCTGCCGTCTAAGGACCATCCTTCGACCGCTCACTTCAATCACTTTGTTTCCTGTCGAAAACCAGTACACTAGTAGCACAGCAGGCATATATTAGCACCTAGTTGGTTTGTCGGTTCGATTGATCAATGACGTTGTTCGCTCGCTCGTTTCATGTCATTGTTGTTGTAGTGTCCTATTCTTCGCGAACCCGGGTTGGAAATCGCCCAGTTCCTTGCTTCTATTTTCTGTTGTTGATGTTGTATCATTATACCCAAACCCGCCAGCCCTGTGTTTCCAAATATTCCTTCCCTTAGACACCCAATTTTTCCGTAGTCCCGACCATGTATAATATCCGTCTCTTCGTTGAAGAATCAGTACGGAGGCCATGGACAGATTGCCCAAGTCGTCGCAGTCTGTCCTCTTTCGTTTCGTTTCTTCGAGAAACCTGGTCGTTTGGCTGCCCGATACTTTCTTTCGTCCTTTGTTAAGTTCCCCATACAATTTCCATCACCGCCCAATTTTCTTTCCCACTAATTCACGAAGCCACCTGAACTGGTTTAACACTGCTCGCGTCCCCACCACCACCACCACCACCACCACCAAGCGGCCTGGGTACACCCACCGCACCCCCGCCACCACTTGGGTCAGCGCCACTGTAGATATACCCAGCCGCCAAAATGACGACAACCATGACGCCCAGCCCCATCAACAGGGCTCGCCGGACCGCCGACGGCAAGCCACCTCCTTGTTGTTGACCATTTCCTTCGTCCGAGGACGAGGAAGAGACAGACGAGTAGGCCGGCGAGTTTTCCCACACGCCCCGTAGGAAGGTCCACAACTGGGTAGCGATCTCGACGATCTGGTCGCGGCCGAGGGAGTAGTAGACGAGCCCGGCGAGGGCGATGGCGTAGCCGAGGAACTGCAGGGGGGTGATGGAGGTCTGCCAGATCATGACGGAGGCGACGACGAGAAGGATGTTTTTGAGGATACCGGTGAGGGTCATTACAAGGCCGGAGGTTCTGCCAATCTATTTTTTGGGTGTCAAAGTGTTAGCGGATAAGAGAGGGGATAGACGACATCAAGTACAAGGAAGGAAATCCAGAGAAGAAAAAAAAACGTACAAGACAGACACTGCTGATGTTCAACATGAACGCCACTACGGCATTTAGGAGAAGACACCAAAGACCCGTGTTGTACAAATCAGCAATGTTGAAAGAGCGGAACTCGGTAAACAACGCAACGACAAAGTTCATCGATGCGCAGACGGGAGCAAAGTAGTACAGACTGACGAGCGGGTCCATCTTCTGACCATCGCCCTTGAGCAAAACCTGAATCATGATGAGCCGCATGGCCTCGAACACGATCCCGCCGAGCTGGAAGAGGAACCCGGTGAGCGAGAAAGCGATCTCGCCGAAGCTGGCAAGCCCAACGCCAAAGACGATGAACAAAACGTTAATCAGCCGTGACTGCGACGGCTGCTCAACGCCCCAGACCCAGGCGGTCAGCAGGACGGCCACGGGCGCGGCGGCCTTGAGCATCTGGATGAAGGCGACGCTGAGGTAGAGGTAGACCATGTTGCTGCAGACGAGACTTCCGCTGAAGAGAAAGCCGATGGGAACGATGGCGCGCAGGTAAAGACGGCCCGTCATCTTGACACTCTTGCGGCCATCGAGGAGGGTGGTTGTCCTGGCAAGGACTTGGGTGGCGATGGTCGCGAAGATGAGATGCCAACATGTTAGGATAGTGGCTGCGAGGTTTCATGGTCAGTTGGCTCCGGTTAATGAAAGCGGTGACGGATTCAACATACGATAACCTATTATAAGAGTCAGTATGGTTCCTATAGGATGTGTACATGTGTGCAAGGGCATGTGTGCACTCACTAAACCTGTCTGGAGCAAGCAACCATTTGTTGAAGAGAATGGTGATATTAGAAAAGAATATCCAACTCCTGTCAAAGGTCGAGTGGTCAATAGCGGGTCCCATGTGTGAAGGCGTGGAAGGCAAAATCCTTACGCGATATAAAAGACTGGATGAATCGACCGCGTAACCGGCTGGGCCTTCTCAGCCTGGGTTTCGACATCATCGGCCATGATGATTGACGACTGGGTTGTTGGTGAACGAAAGGTAGATGGATTATTAACGAAGGTGAGGCAAGGTCAGTGATGGCCACGTCGAAAGATCAGTTTGTCGACAGAGCGAGTAATATGATGTATATCGTGTATCTGATCGTGAATCCCGGACGCAACCCAAACAAAAACAGCTTGTTGCGAACTGCCAAAGTCGTGGCGATATCCCGAAGATCCAAGAGATCAAAGCCAACAAAACCCAATTTCCGATTGATCGGTTGTGCTGCCGATGTCGAGTGGACAAGAGGTATTGAACAAGGTGAGCCGCACACTGACTGAAGCGCGCGCAACACCCCCTTGGTCAAAGAAGGATCCCAAGAGAAAGAGAGGACTGGCTGAGGATGCTGAGCTGATCAACCTGCAGAGAGAGAAGGGACAGGATGGAGAAAAAGAACGGGAAGACGTCGAGCAGGATCGGGAAGACCCGACTGGGGGAGGGGAAGCAGCTGAAGGGTCTTCCTGCTGGAAGGCTAAGATAGCCGTTGCTGTGCCGTTCACGGTGCCGTGCCGCAGGGTCGGAAAGTGTTTTGGCCCAAGAAGACAAATGTGACTGTAAACGAGTGGCACTGGAATTGTTTGGCTCTGTATGTTTCTAGTTCTCAGACACGCTCCAAAATGAGACGGGAACGGGGAATGGAGGAGAGGCCAGAAGACCAGCTGAATGGGTGAGCGGTTGGCTGTGCCGTGGTCCGCAAAGGAGTGGGCTCCAGCTCGCTGTTTGACGCAGGGTCTCACTTTCACGATGCAGTCCACACCCCACAAAGTCCACACACAGTCCCAAAACGGTTTGTTCCTGGGGGCCTTTTCTTATTTATTACTTTTTCTTTCTTTTTCCCTTCCACTTCTTCCTCCCCTGCGCCCTGCCAATATCTGGCCTTGCCGAGGCCAAGCTACTGGCGCAGAGTAAGCAGATCGGGACTCTGGCCCCAACCCGTCGTCCAATTGGAGAGAGGCTTGGGAGTGTGTGCGGTTGATTGATTGCCAGGAGCCTGGCGAGAAGTAGAGAGGTACTTTTTGTCTCAAGATGAGACTGGTTGTCTTCTTCTGCCGAAAGCGTTGTTGTTGATGATGATGATGATGCCGGTTTCCCTTGCTTGATTTGAGAACGTTACGGCTATTGCCGACTCCAGATATAGATGATGGGGAGCGAACAGATACGCGGATGGTGGTGGGAGTGTGACTGGAGACTAGAATTGAGACGGGATGAACGGATGTGTGAATGATTGATGGATTTGTCAAGAGCTGGGGGGCCGGGGAAAGTGAAGCAGCCCGGGTAACTGCTGAGCTGCTGTCAAACACTGCCTGACAGTGACAGCGGGGATGGGCCGTAACAGCGGGGATGGGCCGTAACAGCAACCTCAACTCCATAATCAAACATGTGGGGGAGGGTGACAGTATTCAAGAATAAGCACTGGCTCAACAGGCAGCAGCAGCAGCAGCAGCAGCAGCAGCAGCAGCAGCAGCAGCCTCAGCCTCAGCGCAAGGGGCAGAACCAACTGGATGGGATCCTGACAGGGCACCTAGGCTGGCAAGGGAGGTCCAGGCTCCGTTCCGTTCAACCTAAAACCAAGCTTTACGAGGTGTCCCTTTTTAGACCTACAAAGGCCAAGACAGCAGATCATTGGTCGGGCCGAGGCATCCCTGACCCTGGTCAGCACAAACGTCTCGAACCCAGCAACACCTCCCGTGCCTGATCTGTCGAGTGGCTGTGAAATGTGAATCTGTGAAGGTACACTAAACCAAATCCAAATCTCTTTTGGTGTAACGAAGGAGTGCAACGCCCCAGTAAATTGATATTGTATGCCCGTAACAGCCAGTGGGTGGTGGCGGGGCGACGATGCTTCCGTCGAGTCCCGAATGTGCCTTAGAGGTTAGTAGGCCCGATCAGTGGCTGGTGAGGGAACGCTCTGAACGCTGACGGGCCGGTGCCGTCCCGATTGCTTCCCGTTTTCATAAACGAAGGGTTCCATAGGAATATCATATCAATGATGACATTCAACGGGACCCGACCTCCTGCCGAGAATCAACTTGACGGCGTCAGGTTGAAGTGCTGCAAGGTTACAGCCCTACAGGCCAACAAGCAGCCAAGAAGACCATAATCAGTGGGCGTGGTGGGGCAGTGGATAATCCCGGCCATGTTCTTGTCCCATTAATTTTGTCACCACAGTTCTCGCCCGTTCCTTGGGTAGTGTACTGGCCATTTCTAAACAACAAATGTTATGGCGAAGTCGTGAGGTTCTCCTTCCCATCGCCTATCAGTACACTAGAATATCAATGTCTAAAAGTTGATCGTAGTTAAACTCCGACTTGAAAGGCCCATCACATGCACGCTTTTGTTGCGCCGATCTGGTGCCTGAACATTTTGACGTGCATGGAGGCCGCCCTCAACGACTCCTATTCGCCCCCTGGCTTGTGGACCCGGTCCATTGACACTCCACCGCGTCACACAATAGGTATCGATGTACTCGAGCATCGCTCGCAGCAAGGAGCTCGATTATGAGATGAACCACAGACATCAAGTCAGCGCCGAGTTTATGGCCAAAACAGTTACATCAAATCGCTGTTCGTACTACTGCTGTAACTCCTGCTCTACCCTACTTCTACTCACACTTAGACTAAAGCAAAACCCGTGCCTGGAGAGAACTACATGAACCCTTGACGTGACGCTTGGGCATTCGGCATCCGTCCATTTCCATCCTGAACGCCGTCTCGCTATGCAGAAAAAACACGCCCCGGACCTTGACGCCTTTTATGAAGATACTTCGGACAAGTCTTCCTCACGATGCCATACCCCCGCTTATAACGCCACCGGCTCAAAGGACCCGAGGACAAATAAATCGGAGCCGAGTTTGTGTACAGGTAGGCCAAGTCCTAATCAACCTGCTCCATGCCCCCCGATGCCGCAACCGAGTCCGCATGCTGGACCTGGACCTTTGTGTCCGGCGATTGACCCGCCACCGTCCCAGTCGGTGTTGTCATATCCTTCCCAGCCTCCGGAGCCTCGGCCTTGACCATCTCCACATCCTCCGGTTTCTCTGACCCAACCAGCGTGACCGATTCTGACTGGTCATCGACATGGTTGCCAAGTTCGGCTTGAGGAGATAGGGTCCTTGTTACTTCCCGTTCTGGTATCCGTACCATTTCCGGTTCGACACACTCATAGAACAACATAAAGACGTCCCCTCTTTCAAGCACATTCTCCTCATCTACCTTAAAGACGTCGGTGTCGCTAAGTCGCCACCATTGCGAGGTGGCTTCCTCTTCGTCCTCGCGCATGAGTGTCTTCTCGTCATCTTCCGAGCTAGGAGTTGGGGCGTCTTCTTCGTCCGTGGTATTTGGCTCGCTTATCGACTTCTGGTCCGGGGTCTGGATCTTCGGAGCGGCCACCTCATCATCGGCAACAAGCTGTGGCGGCGGTGCCTCAGGCTGGTTTTCCTTCTCAGGAGGGCTGACATAATGCTTCCTGTAGCAGACATAGTGGCCACTATCGTGCCGTCCCTGGTGCGTGACAACGGCGCGTAATTCATAGAGTGGCCCGCTTAGGGCGGATGGGCGTTGGGAGCCCGCCACCATGGAGGCCGTCGGCTCAACATTCCATTTCTCCTCATCTTCAGCCGTTTGCTCGCCATTACTGGTCGAGCTCGGAAGGACACCGTTTGAACCTTCCAGATCAGCCCGCTTCTTCGCGCTTCCGAGGCACCAAGGTCCTAGATCAAGTATGCTGGGAAACCTGACAGCGGAACTGTCCTTGTACATGTAGCCTGTCCTCTCGTCAAAGACGGACCGGTTGATGTGAATAACCAAGCTCTTGGGTGGCCGAGAAATTGCCGTCTGCTTTGTCTTGGTCGACTCAACTCGCTGTTTAGCCGGAACCTTGCACTTCTCAGCTAGCGTCTTGTCGTCAAGCATATCTTCTTCAAGCGCCTCTTCTACCGCGGCTAACCTCTCACGAAACTCCGAAACTCTGGCCTCGTCGGTTGCGACCATCCCTATCAGACCCTTGATCTTCTGTTGCATCTTGAGCAGTGAGCACCTGGGACAGTGAACGCCTTCGATAAACTCAACCCGGGCATTGTAGTCCAGCCTCTCGTAAAGGTCATAGCCAAGTTGTCCAGAGCCAAGGTTAAGAGTCAAACAATTGAAGGGGATCATTGTCAGCCCTTCAAAGTGATTGCACTTAACACAAACTACCCTCTGGGCAATGAGCCCCTCGAGTGGATTCCTAGACAGCTGAATGTCGGGAACAGATGAACTTTGACTGGAGCTATGGTAGCCGCTATCATCACTGTGGTGGCTGCTTACGCCGTCGTCCTGCGGTAGATCGCCGTCATATGCCAAGGACTTCTTGTAGGTTGCTGTAGCCTTGGCCACCTCCCTGTCGATTTGGTCCAGCAGCTTTGAAAAGTACTCTTGCGCGTCTTGCTGCTGCCACGTGCTCATGTTCTTGAGTACATTGGGTGGCCACACAGATCGCCCATAGTTGGCTTTGTCGTTGAGTGTTGCGATGAGCCCAGCCATTGCTTGCGTGGTCGGCATCGTCGACTTGGCGTTGCTACCCAGCTGAGATACCCGGGCCAGGTACTCGGGCAAGCCCTGGAGCGAAGCAAGGCCCTGGAGAATGCTGTTCTGGTAGCATGAGTTGTCATTGTTCCCTAATCCTGCCGGACGATCTGAAGTGCTGTTTTTGAAGTTCCAGCCAACGCTGGACAAGGTGCTGAGGCCCTTGAGCCCAGCCGAAGTCACGGATTCCATGACGCCTCCTGGCTTGTCCAGACCCAATATCCTTCCCAGAGCTTGACTTTTGGCTTCATGCGAGTTGTCTATTTCTGCGGGCGTCATAGGCCTGGGGAACAGTGGCGGGTTGAGGAAGCCGTCGACTTTGAAGAGTAGAGTGGCCGGAATGATATCGACCACGCGGGCCCAGATAATGTTCTTTAAGCGTGTACGAGTGTTCCGATCGCTGAATAATAGTTGATAAAGGGCGGATAAGAAGAGGAGGATGACGGAGACGATAATAGTCGGGCTGGTTACGTAGTCCCGGAGTTGGCGATCAGCTGGGTAGGCGTGATAATAGTTCTTGGGATGGCCGGGGGCCCGATGTGGGTGGTGGCTTTGTATGCGTCTGGTATCTGAATTCATAGCTACTTGGGAAAGAGATAGTGGGGGAAGACCTCGGGGGACTCCTGTCGTCGATGCGATTGAAGCTAAAGCTGCTGAGAAGGAGAAGGCGGAATGGTCGCGTGGAAAGCTCCGATGTCTTGGTGCCTCAGTCGGCCGCTTCAAAGACTTGACAAACGGTAGTGCTGACGACGAAATCGGGTGCAAGTCGCTTCCATGACGTTTCCAGAAACGGGCTGTTTGAGTAGTTGGAAAATGGGTGCGTCAAGGATAGTAACGTCTCTTTTGAATTGAGTGTTGTCGAGGACGGGATCGGAGGTGGGTGCTTGGGGAGTCGGCAGCTACAGTAGTGTACTGTTGCGTTTCGACAGCTGGAAATTTGGGGGAGCAAGTGGACGACGGGAAAGAATTGACGGACACCTTTTGCTTGTGACTTTCGCTAAGAGGTACCGCTAGCCCAGGTGAGGTGACGCTATCCTCTTTCGAGCCTGCCCCGGCTCCTTGGTCCCTTTAAGTGGGCCATACACGGAACAAAGGTCAGGCACTCCTGTCCTCGCCGGTCCAACCATAGAACTCTTGGCGCAACGCGTGGGGCAGTGGAAGCTGCAGGTCGAAAAAAAAGTTCCCAAGTGACATCCAAACTTCACGCCCCATCCACCGAAAACGAAGCCCCCACTGCATTGGAAGGGTCGAAGGGCTGAAGGGTCTCACCGTGACCACCTTTCGCGATACATCACCGGGTATGCACCTTGAACTGACAGATTCTTCAACTTCAAACAAGAATCATCAGTCTTAGAAAAAAAAATGGCCAAGGGAACTATCGGAAAGGCCAACAAGGCGGCAGGTAATGCGCCCCCCCTCCCCCATTCTCAAACTAACAAAACCCATCAATCACCATTCCACCGTGCAGTAACTACTTAATCTAACACCACGTTGCCTTTTTCCAGCTGTCCGTAAACATTCTCGTGCCGCCCGCCGCCAAACCTCTCCCGGCATCGACCTCGACAAGTCTCTCAAGGCCGTCCGCCCTCCCCAGGAATCCGTCAACCTGCGCCCGACCGTCCTGGCTGCCCACCACAACAGCGGCGTCACCAAGAAGAACAAGAAAAAGCAGCTGTCGTCCAAGGCGCGCAAGAGGCAAGAAAAGAGCATGGATCGTGCCGAGGCCATCATGGACCGCACCTCCACAAAAGTGGCCAAGAGCCACGGCAAGGCCAGAGTGATTGAGTCGCGCAAGCGGACGTGGGACGAGGTCAACGTGGTCGCACTTGCTGAGATCGGCAAGGAGTTGCCTACAAAGAAGGAGAAGAAGGCGGATATGGAGAAGCGGGCTGAGGACGAAGCTGTTCGCGCGTTCTATGCTGATGATGATGAGGATATGGATAAGGATGGCAGCGAGTGGGAGGATGATGTCGAGGGTATGGATCAGAATGCGGCGGTCGAGAGTCTCATGGCTGCGGCGACGATACCGGCTGTCGCGCCGGCGATGCAGGATGATGACGAAGAGATTCTATGAATATGCACTGCAACGGGAAAAGACGGATATGGGTGATGGGCTTTTCTTTGTGATGTAAAAGGGGCATCAACAGTTGCGGATGGGTTACTGGCGTTCAGGGATATTCTGTTGTTTTGCCTATATACCACGGCGGCCGGGTTCGCCGACGAATATTGGGTTGGGTCGGGGTCATGTAAACTGGGGTCATGTTACGATACGAGTTGGAGAAATTTCGAATTTGGTCCATGAATGTCATATCAGGATCTAGGGGTTCATGGGGTCATATCGGCCTCCTGGCTCAGGAAAAGTGACTATACTCTGAAAAGGGGAAATATTGAGAACAGGCGAGGATGATGCCCCTGGGTTGAGCTATCAGTGTCAGTATTTTTGACGATCATGGCAACATTTCAAGAACCAACCGACTGGAGATTATGCCCGATCGGTCCTGCTAGTTGGTGGTGAGGTGCAAGTGTGTGAAAAGATGTGTCTCGATAACTCTTCAAGTCATCCCTAATATGTCTTCACAGTATCACGATATTATGAGCAGAGCAAACATGTTATATGGTAATGATGCGGGACTAACTCTCAGATTACAGGAAGAACTACCTGAAAGGCCACGTAATATATCGGTCAATGTCCAAAAGCACACACCTGCTGATATATTGGATCGCCAAGCTAAATCTCCCACATCGATGCCCAGCCGAGTCCATCGTCTCACCAACATCCCGCCATCGCTCACCAATGTACATAACGGCAGTGGCATAAGCCCCAAACACCTAGTTGAGTAGTAACGTGTAACCCAAAAACCGTTTGGTCCATCTATGTAGATGAGCCTGCTTGTCTGGCTGGGCGATGACAACATCTTCACGTCTTAGCATTAGGCACTTGGGCAATGATACAATAATGCCGATCAAGCTACCCCCTCTCGTTTTACCAACCAGCTGGCGCGGTCACCCGACTCGAGTTACGGTTCGTCTGTTTTAAGAGATCACGGGAAGGGGGAGCCAGGAAAACCCAAGAAAAGAAAGACGTCAATATCCTGGCCTCGTGACGCCACCGGTTTAAGCTGAGGTGGTTCCCGTCAGCTAGACCCTTGAACTGAAGAAACAACATCTTTCCTCTTCTAATTCGGGCAGAGATCATGGAACAACTCTATTACATGTGCCAATTTCTCCTTCATTTTTAACATCAATCTTCAGTTGTGTAATTGCGTATACACAGAAGCATCCATCCTAATCGTGAGTATTATATCATACATATGTGCATGCCTTTTGCCTGTTGTACATCCGCTTATATTAGGTACTTATGGGCATGTTCCCCAACTTCGGGCATAATCGCTTTTCCCGTCTTTACCTTAGCCTTGTTCTATCGCAAACTCACATCCAGCTTGTCACCTTATGCACCTGCCTCACCAATGGCTTTTTCCATGACTTCCTGAGCTCTTGAAACCGACCGACCAAGCAAGCGAATGCTAGAGACCAAAAGCAAGAATAATTTCCATACCGTCAAAGCGGTACCCTCCCTATTCTCCGGCTTCCACTCAATACCCCCATTCTTGGCCATTTCAAAGCTGCAGCGGCAGTATGCTGCCAAAACATCAACACCAAACTCCGCAATCACCCCGACTACCACCTCACGCGAACGGGGATTTGGCCTTTAAAAGCGAGTCCGACAAATGAAACATTGGTATAACAGTGTTATAATCGTTGTTGGAATGCTGCAGTATAAGCGGCGAGAGTGTATGAAGATTATGATGTAGCCACGTCATAGCAGCACGGCTGACCCCTTCTCCAGATCTTCGCTTCTTTCTCTTGCTTCTTGTCAGCCGTGCCATGCGTCATCCGCTGCCGAAAGTCGACTGGTCGCTGAACATGTCATCGGGCATGTGGTCATAGTTAATGTCCGGCTCCTTTTTCATACCTGGAGGGTTGATGCTCGAGTAGCCACCGTTGGCGCCACCGGGAGGTGTGTATAGCCCCGAACCTGAACCTGGTTGCTGATGAGTTGGAGGAGTGGTGTTTGTAGAAGGAGCAAGTATGCCCGGTGACTGACCGTATGTCAATCCGCCGCCGCCGCCTTGCCCTTCTGCGCCTGGTCGAAGAACACCGAGCTGGACCCCCGGCATTGCTGGGTAATTTGGAGCGATGCTTGCGTGTCGGCTTTTGGGTGATCCTGGTACCCCAGGGACGCCCGCAGCCTGTCCAGATTGTGCCAAACTGGCAAATGTTTGACCGAAGGCGTCACTGGTCTGCACAAAACGTCGAGCTTCGTTTTCAAGCCACAGGTCGATATTGCGATCATTGCACTTGGCATGTACCATCAACTGATGCTTCAGATCGCTGACCTCGCTGAGAAGAATGCTGTATTCCCTTTGCAAGCTTACGTTTCTTGCTTCGAGGTTGATTTTGGTTCCCTCTAACTCCTGGGTGTACAGCTTTTTCTTCTCTCGGCATTTGCTCGCAGCTAATCGATTCCGTTCGAGGAACTTGTTCCTCTTGTGGTCATCCTCTTCCATATCAGGGTCTTTTTTGCTCCTCTGTTTCCTCTTTTTCGGCGGGTCTTGATCCGGCGGCGTTATATCCGTGGACGTGCTACCGGACTTGGACGATCGATGAGAGTTTATTTTGTTGCTCGAGGACCGTCGGGTGGAAATCTGTGACATGACATCTGAAAGGCAGCTTGTATTTGCGTCGATACTGTCCGGATCACGGACTCCTTCTAACCCGTTGACATGTTGATCTCTTCCTCCGTATAGGCCCGGGTCAACAAAGAGGCTATTATTCGTTTCCATGGCGCTGGGTTCTGCGAAGCCATCCCATAACCCCGGCCGCTCCCCTAACGTTGGACCATCGCCCGATATTGGAGATTGGTCGATGGATAGCCTGTGATCGAAAACATGGTACGACTGAAGCCCGGCTTCGCTCATGCCTACATCAGGAGGAACATCTTGGGAAATATCGTGAGAGATGTCGTGGGGGATCTCGTGAGGAACTTCATATGGGACATCATGGTCATCCTCTTGATATGGGTTGGAATCCTCGTATGCCAAGGAATCGCTAAAGAAGTGTGACGGAGTGTCCATGGCGTTCTGGTGATTCTGGTGGGGGACTAGCGCTGGTAAACGAGTTAACTATCAAGAACAGCAACGAGCGTATCGGGAGAAACTCAGCAGGATGATGAGGAGGGGATGCAGGTACAGGAGAAGGAACTCGGAAGCACTAGCTGGGCGGCGTCAAGGCCGGGAGACAACGGATGTTTTACTCCGGGCCTGAGCTCCGGCCCTCGTGGAGATGGAAAGACCGGGCGGCCGGGCGATTGCCCAAGCCTTGAGCATGCATCTGCAATCCAGCCGCGCCACTTCCGCTTGAACACAGATTCAGCAACAAGTCAAGGGACAATGGCAAAACTGGACGAAGAGGAAAACATGCTGAAGCAGGCACGCAGAGGAATCAAGAGTGTGCGATGCAACTGAGGCTCAAAAGGGACATGATCTTGATCGTTTTTGCAAAGGGAAAGTGGTGCCCAGGTTGACGACATACCAGGAATGGAAGGTAAATCTATGCGTCTTGGTGAAAGAGCTTCCACTTGTTGCACAAAGGGCAGGCACCTCAAGTCGATGCCAACAGCCCTGTGTACCTTGATGGCTGCTACCGCCGCTATGTGTGGCTTGGCAGCCCGGATGTCTGTTGATGGATGTACAATCCAATCGGTTGCAGACAGAAATGATCTGGGTATGGGGCGTGACTGCCTTACCTGAAGGCAGTTTTCAGTCTTCAAACACGGCCCGTGACCAACACCTGCCGAGGTTGTTACTTTGATATGGGAACTGAAATGAAGTCGTCTTGTTGGTTGGGGACGAAACCGGAGCGTTGTGTGACCGGGCTGGTTCACTCTCGCAAGTAGAAGAAGAAGACAATACGCCTTTCTGTATCGTACATTTCTGGGAGCCCGGTTGTCTGGGCACCCGAAATATATCAAAAGCTTAGAAGGAGGGTTCGAAAAGAAATGGAATGCCAGTTATCGAGACAAAGGGTGTGCTGTCTGGCAGAAGTTCGGGGCGCTCGAAGGTCAAGTGAAGCGAAAAGACATGGTTATCTTTCCAAGTTGGTTGGAAGCAAGGACTAACAGTCAAACCACAGCCCGGAAAAGAAAAATGGATTTGAAATTGAAATTGAATCTTGCTGGTGAACAGGCGAGTATGATGAAGGACGAAAGCTCGGATGCCAAGCTACGTTGGTGGAGGCAAGCAGGCGGAGGGAGGGTACCTCTGTTCTGGCACAACATCAAGCAACAATGGCCGTACCTAATGCTTTTCTGTGCTACCCCCATTTTAGCGTGGCGGACTGAGCAGGCCGGGCAAGCAGGAAAGGAAAGACACAAAAAAGAGCTCGCCTCTAGGATTTCAAGGATGGTAGACCGAGGAGGTTGTGCTGGTGGATGGACTGGAACGACAGACGGATGCTACCTGTGACTTGTGAAGCTTTGGGGCGGGCAAAGCCCAAGCTCTGAGCTCTCCTCGACCCTCTCTGCTTTGTTGGCCTCCCAACCACAACAGTCAAACGATCCTAGCCGAGGTGAGGAGAGAGCTCGATATGCAAGATAGCTCCCTGCTCGGAAGATACCGTGCCTGGAGGTGCGTTGGTCGGAAACGTACGAGGGAGCTCGGCCAGAGCTTCACTCGCTTCATCCGATCTCCAACCCCTCAGCTAGATAGTGGTCGTGTATGAGGGGCGATGCGCTTTGGCCTGGATGAGGAGGTGACTCGTTGGACTGGCAGGCCGGCAATGAGACCCATCGCCTTTTGGAATGCCTCTTGGAAGACGAGAGCGGAGAAGAGGAGCCGCCAGATGTCTCAGTTTAGGAGGGTAGCATCCCGGCCCTGATCAATGTAACATTGCCTTCCATGATCCGGGCAGCTTGTGACTTGGAAGCGTCTAAAGCTGTTTACGCTGCACAAGAACGCGTTAGCTCCAGACACCCACACATTCTAAGGTGCGGTAGGCTTCTAATTGGCTTGCGGTACTGTCCAAGGCGAGTCCAGTCCAGTCTGCCAGGCCGAGGTCAGGTTCAAAGTTCCCGCCATGGGAAGACAATGGGTGAGACGTTACCACGATTAATGGCACAGAGAACCGGTCAGCGATGGGAAATCAAGAATCTCCATCTGATCGATGTAGTGGGCAGACTTGGGTATTCTGGTGGCTTAAGCCTCAGCAAACCGAAATGTTGGTTTCCAAAAGTGCTTTGCCCTGGTCGTACAAGGCGGGGTTGTAAGTGATGATGGAGGAGAGGACATGGGGAAGCTGAGTGGACAAGAGCATAACGTACACCTCCACTGTGTACGTTTGCTCTGTGTTACCTTCCCTTCCCTTCCCTTTCCCTTCCTTTCCCACCATACCGAAAGGCTTGCTGTAGATCTGATCTACCTGCGGCATTGAATACAAGCATCTCCTCCCGGCGGGCTTCCGACATACCCTACTGCGACTTCGGAAGCATCGGAAACGCCGCGAAAACAATATTTAGTACATACCCTAAGTGGCTTACGTGCATTAGCGTTGCTGCATATAGGCAGGGCAACTTACTTGACATGATTTCCTCAAGGTACGAAGTGAAAAGATTGATTTGGGGGTTCCTAGTAACTTCGCGCGACCAGTTGGGGGCTTTCTGACGAAGGTGTGAATTGAGTCGATTCTGGTATGGCACAATCTCGAGCCACCATTTTCGCGACACCAAAAGCCATCCACGAAACCCTGTCCCTGGCCGAGCGTGCATATCTGTCAGGACGTAGTGTACCGAGCAGCTTGAATGGAGATCATGCTACAAAGTGGAATGATACCGCTGCCTTACAGCTCTTTGTGCAGCTTCCATCTCTTTTGCCACCTCTAGCACTTTATTCACCAGCATGTGGGGACGAACATATAATCTGGGCATCCTTTTCCCGAGGCAACTTCGTACCAGCAAAGTGACCGGGCATGGATAGATGTTTAATTGAGGACTTAGATAGATGCTTGATTGAAGACTTGGTAAATGATTTGTGCTCAAGCTCCAGCATCAAATTGACTGCCTGCCATCTAAAGCTCAAACTTTCCCCGTGAGAAAGCTGCAAGATAAGCGGCGTCGAAAATCTGGACTCGAGACTGGATTCCTGTCGCTTTCATGGGAGTTCTCAAGAAGACCTGGCTAGTCCCCTGGATGATGCTGTCACACACTATGGTGAGATGGGTAAGTAGGTACTGTAAAAACCCGTGGGCCGGGTTACTGACAATCGCTGATCACACAGTGTCCTGGACAAAGTCATAAGCTTTGCCTATGGTGGTTCGTGCTCGGTACCTGACAAGGGGATTTGACTTTGACTTGCAGCCACAGCATCACCGGTGATTTAAACCGTGGCGGAGCCGGATTCCGAGTGAGCGAGTTCCCTCCAGTTCAATTCGCCAGTCATATCTTTCCATGCCCCCAGCTCTAGATTTCCTGAAGAGAAGAAGAAGAAAAAAAAGAAAAACAAAAAAAAAAAGAAAAACAAAAACAAAGCCCCGATGGTGCCAAGACAGACGGCAAGTTTTCATCCCAAGATCGAACCGCCTAGACGAAACCAAGGGATGTCGCTGAATGCTGCACAACAGGACGTTGTTCTGGAGAAGTTGAAGTTGAGTTGCTCGCGCGGATCGGGACCCGCATCCCCGCCATCCCCACAAATTGGAATGCCGTGGGGCTCTCGACCCCTTGTCGCTCACAGGTGCCGACTGTACCGCACATGGTCTGAATTCCAAGGAAGCAGCCACAGTGCAGGCAGCAAGTAAATACATGCGAATTAAACAAACATCGTGCCTCACTTGAATTGCTGTTGTCGCTTCGATATCGAACGCGCTTTCGACTGTGACGTTGAAATTCAAGTCCACAGAAAGGATGTCCTCCTGGGTGTTGATGAAGGACCGCGCATCAAACGATAACCGGCACGGCATTCATACCCCGGAAGTAACGACGTTCGTTACTTGAACTTGAAACCCTCTACCGTGGCAGCCCCTATAGCTGCATTATCCAAGTACTGCATAAGCACCAAAGCATTTCCTCTTACCGCATACCAAGGTTTTGTCACGAAATCCCGTCTCCCACCAAAAGCCAGGTCACTGATCTGCATACATTCCAGTTAGTGCATTACTCGCGGCTGTTCCCCATTGTCTGGATAACATGCAGTTTCAGGGGATTTTACTGTACGCAGTACATGGCCCGGTGCCCCGCACGTAATGAGACTCCTTCTCCTAACAACATCACACCAAGCAACCGCACTGAGCTGTTAGTACATTCACAGCAACAAAACCAAGACCATCATCAACCAACCCAAACAAACAACAAAAAGTGTATCAGAACCTCACAACCTCACTCACGACATTGACCTTTTTGCTCCGCAAACTCCAACTCTCCAACAACACCAATAACACGACCCCACCACTCAATCACCACCACACTCTCCAAATCTACGCGGACTCTTCAGCTCACGGACATACCGAAAAGAGGAAAAAAAATGGACAGCAAATCTTCCACCCCCCGCATCACCTGCGCCTATCTCAGCCAGTATGTCGGCAAGCTCGTGACGGTCGTAGGCAAAGTTGTCCAGCTACGCGGCGAGGAGGCGACTATTGATGCTGATGGGACCATTCATGCATTTTTGAACCGCGTACGTCCGGATTCTCGCCCTTTTTTCATTGGTGCCACCAAACTTCAAGAATAAGAGACGAAACGAAGGCTGTTAAAGAGTCATGATGGATTGGATAGTGTCCCGTGATGACTAACCAAAACATGTCGAAAATTACAGGAAGCACACCTCTCAGCAAACAACGGCGTCCAACTCATCGGCAAGGTCAACCCGGATCTTTCCATCAAAGTGCTTAGCTCCGTTGATTTGGGGCAGGGTGTTGGTGAGTTTCTTCCCCATCGCCCCCCCCTCCTCCTCTCTTGTGTCCATCCCTCATCATCCATCCTCCTCCCTTGATCGCTATACCTCTATCTATACCATTGTAGATATTACGTGTGCTTACGCATGGAACAGACTACAACCTAGCAAACGCTGTCGTGGAAGTCACTCATCGTTACAAGCCCCTCTTTGTGTACGAGAATTAAGGTGAGAGGGCGCGAGGAAACCACTACACCCAGAGAAGGAGGAAAAAGAAGAGGCAAAATAATACCCAACTATAACAAATGGAACCAAAATTTCTCAGAAACCTTCATCCGAGTTATACTTCGATATTCGTCACCAAATGTCGAAATAGTCCAAGCGTTGCGACCGCAGGCGCCACGCACACGCAAGACGCGGCGGCACTGCGGGGAAACGAACATGCCAACCAACTTAGTATTATCATGCCTGCTTCGACATGGCGGCGGCAATATCTATTTTCTTGCAGGAGCAGCTCCGCGGAAATAGAGAGCAAATGTGGAGAAGGAATTCGATATGCGACAGTCTCAACTGCTATATAATTGTGATGTAATTCAGTTGTGCTCTGGGTACGAGACTCGGACTGCAGACTGCATAGGAACAGATGGCAGACAGCAAAAAGCAAGACGAGGCAAAACAAAAAGGTGAAAATAAAAGTGAGAAAAACGCTTTGGTATCCCATATCCCAGCCCATCCCAATCAGTATTGCGCCCGAAACACCCATTTCACTTTCCCCTCTTCACGAATGCGGCGAGTCGCGCGTAGCGTACAAGAATAATCATCCCACTTTTCGTTGAGGGTATATCGTGGTGACCTTTTGTTTGTTTTTTTGCGCCCACGCTGCGAAACATGGATTTCCTTCTCTCCCAATCTGGAATCAGACCATAACCGTGCCCATTCACTGCAACATCATTCATATCTCAATCACACGAGTTGCGAGATCTGCGGATGGATCTCGCAGATTATCGAGATCCAAGCTCAAATGTTCTCCCAGGGGGGCTCCGGCCCCTGCTCCGACTGCGACTGATCATTGAGGCCCTAACTCAGCTCATCCACATCAGCAGCGGCATTCCTCTCCGCCTCACACCCTCCTCCTCCGCTCGTAGCCGTAGTCTCCACCCACAAGCTTTCGATGCTCAACGACGCCTCGAAGCTCAAATTGCCATTGCCACCATCTCCATGGTGATGACCCCTCATCATAGGCGGGGAGCTAGCCATGACCATATCGGTACCCATGAAATTGCCAAAGTCCAAAGCACCCGCGCCCTCCACGAGTTGCTGCACGCTGTCGCTATCATAGTGCTGCATATTAACGTCCAGAAGCCCGTGCGATGACGAGTTGGCGGTGAACTGGTCAGCTTCACTCAACAGTTGGTTCAGCGAGCCCCAAGCCTCAAAGTCGTGGGTTGGAGACGAGGTAGGCACGTGCAGGCTGTCGTCAAGCGCAAAGCGTGCGTGGCGGGGGCTTCGCCGCTTGGACGCGCTAACGAGAATGCCTCCGTTGCTACCGGAGACAGTACGCGTACCGCGCGGAGTCTTGGTGGGGGTTCGTTGGGTTTGCGTAAAGAGCTGACTGGGCGACTTCTGCGCCGACCGGACGGTACGGATGGACCGAGATATACTCCTAGTAATGGGCCGGTGATTCGGAGTTGGCCGGGTAGGCGTCTTGAAGATACCCGAAGAGGGGTTCTTCGGGGGTGGTGTTGACGGCCTGACGACTGGACTGCCGAAAAGTTCTTGGTCAAGCTCGTCCTGGTCCGCAAGGACAGGGGTATTGGGGCGCCTTGCCGGCTGGTGACCGATGTTTTCCTTGCCCATGGCAGCAGACTTCGGGTCTTGCGACGCAGTGGTAGCATTGACGGCGTTACCTATGAGCTCCCCAAGGACTTTTGGCGCTCCCTCCTTCCTAGGTGAGGGGAAGAGAAGCCTTCTAGTAGTGCCAAGATCATCCTCTACTGCGATGGGGCTGTCCGCCGTTCCACTGCCCCTAGAGTGAGTTGACCCGAGCCCACGTCGCTTTGGGGAGCTACGCGAGTTTAAAATCATCTGATGCAATGATTGATTGTTGTTGTTGTTGTTGTTGCTGTCCTCCATTGCGGCCACGTTCTGGTGCGTCGGTTGAGTCATATTTTGATGTTGCGCTTCTTCCGGTGATTCCTGATCGGCCGGTCCGATTGGATCAGTCGTGAAATATGCCTCCGATGTTGGGTTTGTCTGGGTGTCATTCTTTCGCTTTTTGTTGCGCGAGTTTTTCTTCTTTCGGGGCTGATTAAGTCGGGCGGCATCCTTGTCCCACCTGTCCTGTGGCCTATGAACTTTGAATTTGGCGAGCCAGATACCGCATGGGTTACAGAGGAGAGTTTCCTTCCAAATTTTCTTGTCGTCCGTGGGCCCGAGATTTTTCTTCACCAATTGGTACATAATGGTTTGTCCATCAGCATCCTTCTCGAGGATATCGATCGTAGTCACAAATCCAGGTTTATCGGAAAACTCGTAAAGACCAGGAACTCCTCGATGATCTTGCGTCCAAATCTTCCGCCAGGTAGGAGTTTCTATGGCGCCACAATTGTTGCAAAATGGCGGTGACTCTCCTCTTTGAATAGCCTCCTCCAGTTTCTCCTTAATTGACTGCTTCTTCACCATATTTTTGTTATAGCGAGGCGGTTCTTCGGGCTCGCTAGGTTCCTGTGGGGCAGGTGCACGAGCCCGAGCAGAGGCTTCAGATTGTACTGCTCGGGATGACGTTCCAGTAGATCCCACAACGGGGTCGCTGGCCGGGACAGAGCTGTTCGAGACGGGCTTTGACGCTGGTTGGGCTGCTTTGCTCTGAACAGGTTCGGGTCGTTCAGGAATGGGCATCACAGTGGTAGCAGGGACAGGAGCTTGTGGCTGAGCTGATGTGTTTCCCGCGTTCTGGGTCTCGAGTTGTTGCGGAGGGTTGAACGGCGGCCGATGTTGAGTTTGAGAGCTTTGCATAACTGCCTGTGAGGTTTGGGAAGCAGTCCCTTCTTGAGGAGCTTCGCCATCTTGCTGATCATTAGGTTGTCGCGATAGGGAATCGTGATCGGACAGTGAAGGGTTTGGGGCTGTATTCGACCTCTTGAATGGACGATCCGCGTTCTTTTTCGGTATGGGTGGGACTGATGTGGCGTGTGCGACTCTGTTCAGCGCCTTCGTCTTTCCAGCAGGGTTGAAGATGCTCTTTGTGGGCAAAAGCTCCTTTGGTCCGGGATTGACTTCTTGGAAGGGGAAGTTGATACCCTGTCGATGGGCGTGGCTCCCCTTTCGTGCATTTGGTTTGCTGACTTGAGGTACCGGAGGGCTCATCACCGTTCGATCTTGAGGCTGACCGGGTAGCTCTTGGCCGTGGTCTTGAGGAGCATCTTGTAATAGCTCATCCTCGTCGAAGATGTCGTCGAAGCCGCCGCTCATGAAGCCAGAGTCGACTTGTGGCATAGGAACGGGCATAGGCGGGAGAACTGGGCTTGAAACATAAGGACTTGAGTGCATGTAAGCACTAGTCCTGGGAACCGGAGGGGATGATGCAATGTCGGCGGGACTATCTTCAGGCACGTAGCCTTGATCTGGTGACTGGCCGATGGAGTCGGTGGGTGACCGGGCATCGTGGCTTATACTCCTTTGCATGGTTTGTTGACCGAAGCGCGACTGGTACATGCTGCTCTCTGCATCACCCGCAAAGTCAGACTTCATTTTATTCTCGAAGATGAGCCTTCTCTGTTGTCGCTGTAACATTGACCCGTCTGGAACAGGGGTAGGAGCCCGAGGCACGTCCTGAACATGACTCCCCGAAGAGGGATTACCACCAGCTCCAACAGGCCTCATGTTACGCAGAGAACCGGATGTACTGGCCGCAACTCTCAATGACTCTGGGGCTGAACCAAATGGCGCACTACTAGTGAATTCGGCACTGGTAACCTTGGCTCTCTTCTTTTGCGGGCCATCATCACCATCAGTCGCTTCCTCGGCGGCTGACGTATTGCCTGCTTCGAGAGGCTTTTTGCGCGGTCGGCCTCGTGGTCTGCCAGTAGGAGCTCTAGTACGGGACGCTCTACTAGAAGGTCTCGAGGTGGAACGCGCCGACTGGGTGATGGGGATCTCGACAGACTGGCTGGGAGCCGGGGATGAGGCGCTTTCGCCAGTAGGAGCTGGCCGTGGAGGAACAGGCTGGACGGGCGGCATGCTGTTGACCACGGGACCGGTATGTTGTGGCTGAGAACCGTTTGGTGGTATGCTGGCTGGCCGAGTTGGTTGTGGAGACGGATCACTCATATAACGACCATCACCGTTGAGATTGACGTTCAGCGGAGCGGTAGACATGGCGGGCGAGTGCATAGAAGCCATATTGGCCGAGTTCCCTAGGCCCGGGTTGGACTGTATGAATGAGGCCCACTCAGATGTGGTGATGTCTGTAGGCTGTATAGGGTCGGACCTGAGCATATTATTAAGGTTGTTATCCATGTCAGGAAATTCAAGTCGCTGCATCTTGGCAACAGCTGTGAGCTTCATCTTGACCTCCAGGGTCTCGCGGCTTCCATTGCTAAACACGGGCAACAAAGTCCGAGTTACCCGTCCCGTCACCAGTTGCGGTTGTTGATGCCGTTGGCTGTTGTGATCGGTCGCTAACTCCAGGCCCCACGACAACATGCCTTGCCCGACCAGGGGCGTATCCGGCTCTGAATAGTCGACAGCATAAACAGTGTAATCGTTCTCTTGTTGGTTTACAATCTCGGGGCTGCATTGCGCAATAGCCTGAAGACATGTTCGGAGGTCCACGACGCCGATTGTAGTCCTCTCGTCGACTGGTAATATTTGAATTTGGAGAATGTGAGCCCACCGGGCCAAGCACGACACCTGGCCGTCTCGATCGAAGGTATACAGCACCTTTACTATACATCAGGCTGGGTTAGAGCGCACAGATCGGCGGACAGGTTCTCAGGGTGCACTCACAGCCCATGGGCCTGACCTGCATGGCCAATTCATCTCCCTCCATTGGCTGGGCAGCCTGGTGATAGTGAGGGTGTGGTGAGGGCGCAGACCACATGTTGTTTGGGGTAGCCATTGTGACGTCCTTCACGCCGCGGTGCCCCTGCACGCAACCGGGGGAAGCGACGACAATGGGTATAGAGGTCGAGGCAGGGTTTTGTCGTGGTTGTGTTGCGTTTGTCGGTTGTTGTTGTGGAGGAGGAGGAGGAGGAGGAGGAGGTGGTGGTGGTGGTGGTGGTGGTTGTGGTGGTTGTGGTTGAGGGAAAGGTGGACCTTGTCGTAATTCGTGAACGGGGAGAGGGAGGGTCAAAGGGTCCCGTCACCACCTAGCCTGACGTCGAGTGGACCTAATGCCCAAATCGAGGCTGACAGAGTGTCGGGTTGGTAGATGGATGTGTGTAGAGTGGAAGTGAACCAAGAGGGGAATGGCAGATGGGAGCGCGTTCCGCTCGGTCCTGTCGCGTAAATGGGTGGAGCCGCGACACGATGAAATCTAGAGGTACAGTATGTACATAGGTTCCTGCCGGGACGAATGCGAGTTTGGCGTTGGCGTGCGTGTTCTGGCGTCTGGCGTCAAGGGCACCCAACTTAACCGTTCATGCAGGGTGCGCTGCGTAGAGTGTCAGCATGCAGCCAGACCATCACCTGGGTGGAAGATAATTGTATGCTTCGTTGCTTCCGACTCTCTACAACTCTTGCCCGCAAGTTCGAGATTCCGTCGGACGTCGTAAAGTGCAGGTAATGGAGAGTTCAGACTGTTCCAAGTGGCAGAGTGGGAAGCTCGAGGTTAATGGGCTGGTGGAACTGACGCGATGTGGGGTGCGCTGGCGCCTTGGCGGTTCGCTCGTTCTTAATGACCACACCAGCTTAACACGCTGGGGCACGTGCACTGGCGTGTGTAACTGTTAAAGTGGCACGCACGTACCTTTCTGTGCAGTGTGCCTGACGGAAGCAGGAAGCTGTTTGGCGGAGGATCCCGTCCAGCACTGACGAAAGACAACGAAAACAGGCGGCCAACGAACAGCCAGAAATCGGTCAGCTTTTTCAACTGCAACGAACCAGGCGAAGTCTGGAAAGCCCCCGGTTGTGTCTCGGTTGCGAAGCAAAAAGCAGGGAAAAAAGAGGAACTTTGCAGTGCGAATCTGGGGGGGACTCGCGGGATACCTAGCTCCTCTTTATACTTGCGCCCAAAAGTGAGGTGCCCCCCTCCCCCCCGGCTTGACCATTGTACATTACCTCCAATTGCGCAACACTCACGCCGTTTTCACCCGCCCGCCCACTTCCTCATCTTCGCATTTCCCGACGCTCTTTTGCAATCCCGTACGTTCTTGTCACAAGTGTCCTCCAACTTATGGTGTTTTCCGTGTTCCTTTCCAGCACCACACCCCGTCCACACAACTGAACAAAACAAGAACGGAACACACCGAGCTCCATTTCTCGTTCTCACCACAACCACTTTCATCACTCCTCCGCCCATGATGCATCATCTTACACAAACAAATACTCCTGACCTACAAGCCTTACATATATTGTCATTGATGCCAAAAAATGGTTTTCGCGATTGTCCAAAAAGGGGGTCCGTCAATCCACAATGCACCCACTGCAACTCCGCCAGAAATCCCTTCGTCGGCCGGGGAACGGGCGGTGGGGATAAACGACTGGACGGTCTCAGCCACCTGATGAGTAAGGGAGTGAACTTGAGCAACTCCCCCACCATAAGAAACACCAAAACAGTGGTTCGCCTGCTACTAATGGAGTATTTGACGGCTCAACCCGAAATGAAATGGCATACAGATGGACTCACCTCACTTCACCTGGACTATAGACTATGGTAGATCATGCCTCCAGAGGAAAGTAGTCGAGGCAACTTGGGAGGAAAAGGTACATGCTTTGAAGAATCCAGACAGGCCCACTTCACTAACACGAGCCGAAGATCCAATGAGATGACGCATAAACAAACAATTTATCCCAAACCGGCAATTCGTACAACTGCCGGAGGCACCTGCACGCCGCCCGCATTGCCGTCGTCGTCGTCGTCGTTATTACAAATATTGCTTCACGCAAGCCGAGTCAAGTCAAGTACAAATTATACCTGGCTTGCTAGTAAAAACCGCGTTCCCATTTCACTCGTCATGACCTACAATTGACCTGTTCGGAGCGCAGAATGATCTGATCAAAAACAACCACCATCACAGCAGAATGGTTTCCCAATTATGATGCTCCCTGTGTTGCGGCAGGCAAGGATTCTCATCGACCAACAGAGGAAGTTGGCAATGACAAGTCTGATTTTGAGCTTCAATTGACTAGGCAGATTTTGGCTTGCTTGTGTCCGGCTTGACAATCTTAACTTGTGTGCACTGCTAGTCACCATCACCGACTTCGTCTTCGTCGGCGGTCGTAGTTGAACAGAAATCCGTGTCGCGCTTCAATTGCGTTTTTCTACCCTGGGGAATGGATAGAAATAAGACGAATGAGTTCAGTACAATATGCTCATATTGAGTGCGTCGTCACATTCATCAGTTCAACTTTGTCGTCTTCATGCCATGCATTTTCACAGAAATGGATGCTAGTAGTGCAGAACAAACTTGCAATCCCTTGACAGAATCACGTCTTCTTCGCACATCTCTGGGATACCTTCAAAGTGCAAAAAGAGAGGCGGTCTGTCACAGAATGCACACTCAGCAGGAGGTGCTTTGATAAGGAAGCATTTCGCGGCTAAGAATATGTACCACGTTGAGTTTCCCAATTGCTTCCTGTGGTTACTTG